GGGGGGGGGTGCGGGATGCAACACGTCGGTGGAAGGGGGAGGGAGAGAGGCCAAGGGGAGAGCGCACTCCGGTTCTCCGGAAGCCTGTGTTCAACTCTCTTTCCCCACCCCGTGCCTCAGTTTCCCCATCTGCGAACTGGGAATCGTCACACGAACCTCCTCTACCCAGTGCTTTGAGATGGCTGAGTGACAGCCAGGAGGGAGAACACACTGGAATCCAAGCCTAGTCGATTGCCTGCTTGAGGAGGGTCTGGAGATCGGGTCCTAAGGGGAGGTTCTGCCACCCTGCGTTGGAGCGGTGTCCCCATCTCTGCCTCATCACCTTGTTGGCCCCGGGACTCAGCGCAGCGTCAGAGCCCCCTCCCGGGGAAGCCTGGCTGCCCTCGGGCCCCTTCGCGGTCTCCAACGGGAGCTTCCAGCCCTAGAATTGTCAGTCGGGTGGAGACAGAAACCAGCCAAACTGCCGCTTGCGTGAGAGTTCAGTCTGGCCGCGCAAACACCCGCTGGCAGCGTGAACGGCCGCTCCTGGCTGCTGGCCTTTCTGGCGGAGGAGCGCCGGACCAGCTGAGGGACGGCGGTGTCAGGGGTAATCCCGCCAGGCGGAGACGTGGGCTGGGGATGAGACGGTTTCTAACCAGCGGAAGAGTGAGGCCCGGGAGTGGCCTCCCCATAGACGTGGGGGCAAAGAACCGAAGTAGATGGAAGAGGGTGCAGGGTACGTGGCTGGTGGGGATGCCTGTGAAAGAGGGGAATGAAAGACCATGCTGGGCCCGGCTGGGAGAGCAGGGATCCGGACTCCATGACCCCTTGAGGTCTAATAGTTTATGACTATGAATTTGAGCTGACGTGGTCCCTATTCCCCAGCTGCCTGGCTCTGGCCAGATCTTTTTTTTTTTGGACGGTTTTCTCCACATAGATGGCTGCGGGGAGGAATGCGACTGGGCTGCGGGTGGGTTTCTGCTCACCCCGTCAGACTCCCTTTGCTGCTCCCCGCGCGCTGCACCGCGGTTTCCCGGTGGGCTGCCGTGTCTGTGGCCTGCTCGCGGGGAGCTCGGGGCCAGCCGCACTGCCGGGCGGCCGGTCCCCCGG